ATAGTATAGTATAGTATAGTATAGTATAGTATAGTATAGTATAGTATTAATATAAATATAAATATTGTCAACCCCGAAGCTGACCTGGCTGTGGCCTTTTTTTTTTTGGTCCTGTAGGTTTTCAGGATTTCTTTTCACATGGCTTCAAGTTTGACACAGCTTGGAGCTGTAGGGGGGGTAGAGATAGATGGGGTTTTGGAGCCAAAACAAAATAGTTCTCTCATGAGTCAAGGATATTCCAACTTCTGGCTTGCCAGAGGAGGAGGAGAGAAGCAACCAGGCAACCAGCCAGCACCCAGATTGTACAATGTGACTTATTGTTTGGGAAAAAGGGAAACTTTCACTTTTTAATGAGGTGGAAAACACGGGAACTCTGAGTTGACTTTCCACCAGTTTGTGCCAAGATGACATCTCCAAATAAAACCAACTTGCCTCGGAGTTCTATTTGCAATGGGCGTATTACTTGGAACGTTGACATATATACTTAATCATTGGTATGGCTATCACCATATACTGGTAGTCATCAATTCACAGCAGTTTGTTCAGCGACCATTCAGAATTATAACAACAACAAAAAAAGTGACATGACTATTTTTCACACTTATGATTGTTGCAGTATCCCCATGGTCACTGATCAAAATTCAGATGCAGTGATTCACTTAACAAGTGTGGCAAGAAAGCTCACAGAATGGGGCAAAATTCACTTAACAAATGTCTCATTTAGCAACAGAAAATTTGGTTTCACTTGTAGTCGAGGACTATCTGCATGGCTAAACAGGTGATTTTGTTACCTGTAATTTATTTTACATCTTTAAAGTACTCAGTGGAAAGTGCTCAGTGGAACAACTTAGGTTGTCCAGAAGTTGGGAATGCTCCAATACTGGAGGTTTTTAAGAAGAGATGGGACAGCCATTTGTCTGAAATGGTATAGGGCTTCCTGCCTGAGCAAGGGGTTGGAGTAGAAGACCTCCAAGACCTTCCAACTCTGTTATTCTATTATTCTTCAGTGAAAAGGGGGCTGGGGGAGATGACAGAATAGAATTTAGCAGCTGGAGTTTCATATCTGAGTTACACCTGCCACCATTCATTCAGCTCACCAATTTTCCAAAGGAGCAAAGGGTGTTTGAGGCACACAGAATTATACATTTGAATCCATGCACAACAGCCCATATGTTATGCATATTTTCTCTCCTCAGAATAGTCACATAGTTTCTGTAAATGTTGTCTCATAAGGTAGAAGTTCTCCTAGAAGTTTAGAAGGTTTTTTTTTCTTGCTATGGGAAAGCAAACTTTGTTTCCTGAAATGTTGCAAGTTATAATGTGTTACTTAGAACACAGTACAAAAGGGAAATACTTTGGACATGAAATACAAAATCTTCTTGACAATTTGGTGCATTACAGTTTATGGTTCAGGCAAGGATGAATTTGATTTAGAGGAACTGTTTTGAACCTTGCTTGAATGCAAATAACTGGTGGATTCATTAAAGAAGCCCCATATCTTTCAGGACATATGGCAGAGCAGTATCTATACAAAAAAAAAAAGTTTGCTTTCAAGAATTGGTGTTATGCAAG